CACACACACACACACTCACACTCACACACACACACACACTCACACACACACACACACACACACACACATCCTAGTCTAATAAACATCGTTTAAGGATCTAATGCACAGATTGTTTCATACTCACAAACCCAACAGACAGTCGGTGACTTCAGAGATGAATTTGCACAAAAGCATCGATCACATCTAAAGCCGTTTTACAAATACATAGAAAAATATAATCCTCTGAATGCCCTTTTTACAATTTTTGATAGATTATAGAATTATCTGAAAATATCAGTGTAGTTAGTGGTGGAGGATCGAGTGTGTTTGCTAAAGGGAAGTGAATGATCTTCTTAATATATATATAATAGGAGAAAACCCCTTCAAAAATACCATGGTATTCAATGATCAAGATTACTACATTCATGTACTATAGTACTTATATTGTATACTTTATAGTGGTGTTGTTTTAACATAGTCACATACTATAGTATTTACAAAAAAAGTATCATGGTACTGCCATGGTTTTGTATACATGTGCTGTGCGATTGGTGCTGTGATGGTATTCTTGGAAGTACCCTGAAATACCATAGCATTACCATTCACTGCTCCACAGTTGTACTAACTTTTTTCAAAGAGTACCTTGCTAACATAATAATACCGTGGTATTTTTTTGTAAGAGATGAAAGCTATAACATAAGAGGGTCATTTTACTCTCACAAATGTTGCCCTTTTCTACACTTATGGTGTGAATACAGTTTTTCGACCAGTGTAACGTAACAGGCATGACACAACAAAGCAACAAGTTTCTTAATCTGAGTTTCTGTCCTAAACTGAGATATTCTGTCAATCATCTGGTTACTGGTATAGCCCCGCCCACACTGACATCTCATTGGTCCAAAATCCCACCTCATAGACTTCCATTCAAGAGTTTGGGGTTGGTGAGAATTTTGAATGTTTTTGAAAGAAGACTCTACCGTTCACCAAAGCTACATTTATTTGATCAAAAATACAGTAGAAATTGTGAAATATTATTATAATTTAAAATAAATGTTTTCTATGTAAATATATGTTAAACTGTAATTTATTGCTGTGATCAAATCTGTATTTTCAGCATCATTCCTCCAGTCTTCAGTGTCACATGATCTTCAGAAATCATTCTAATATGCTGATTTGCTGCTCAAGAAACATTTCTGATTATTATCAATGTTGAAAAAAGAAAAAAAATTTAAATGAATCTCCCAAATTTAAAATTAATTAAAAATGAAATATAAATATTTACTTCTTATTATTTCTTATCATCAATAATATTTCTTATTATCAATTATATATATATATATATCTTATTATCTATCTAATGTTAAAAAAAAAAATCTCCCAAAATTCAAATTAATTAAAAATAAATGAACTATTTACAGAGAGAGTTAAAGTTCACATCCAAAAAAGAATTAAAAAAAAAAAAATTAATTTCCCCCATTATTTTAATGTGAAGAAGAAATATCTGTGAAGATTTTTGTGATACACTTTTGTTTTCAGGATTCTTTGATGAACAGAAGCTCAAAAGAACAGCATTTATTTAAAAAATAAATCTTTTAAATGCCTTTTTTAAAATCAGTTTTATGAATAAAAGTGTCTTTAAAAAAAATCTTATTGAGCCCAGACTCTGTATACTAAACATTTGATAGTTGGCTGTGAGTTTTTAAACATCACACTCAATTTATGCTGTCAGTGAGACAGATGAGTTAGTCACTGGTAACTTGTGGAGTCACGCCTGGTTAGGACACTTTTTAATGGCAAATTAAGAGCCATTTATGTAAATGAGTGATGTGCTCCGGGTTATTGACGGCTGAATCTCCAAAGAGCATGAGACTGTGTAATTATGGATTAGTCTAATTAGTCTCTGAAGCATTGATCAGACGACGGACAGCGCGCACAGGTAGCCAGCGGTTAAAGCACAAGCTTCAGTACAGGTCTTTGTAGGGTTTGGAGTAGTTAAACATCAAGTAGTCCATGTAGTAGAAGTCATACGCCCGCTGGCGCTCAGACGCGTTCAGCAACGAAAAATAATGCTGCGTGATCTGAGTGGAAGTTCTGGCCGCTTTGGGGTTCCCGTCCTTGAACGAGGGGTACGTCAGGTTCTCCGGCGCACCGATCTTTCGTAAAAGGAAGTTGGCGTCTTCTTCCAAGGTCTCGACCTTCCCGATGAAGTCGTAGTGAAGGTGGCAGGGGCTGCAGAGCTGATTGGCCGCTTCCCAATGGATGTCCATTCCCACGGGACGATGCACGTCCAAAAGATAGTGGATGAACTCTCGAAAGGTCACGCCGCTTCCCGTCTTCAGAGCCGTCTGCGATGCATTCACCCTGTATTTGGAGATGATGGGCTTTCCGAATACGGGATGGTAGTAGGAATTGGGGCTCTCGAATTTGTCCCTGAAGGCAGACACCAGTCTCTCCATCGGCTCTCGGATGAACAGGACTTTGGTGTACGTCTCCAAGCGCTTAGAGATGCCTTGATGGTCGAAGCTGTCCAGGCGTTTCAGGTGATTGTCGTAATGAACAGCCACGTGATTGATTTCTCGCGTAGAGTTGGCGACGCCGGCCAAAACCATCAGGATTCTCTTCCAATTGGAGCATCCGGCTTTAGGCACCTCACAGTACAGCAGTTTATGACGGTCCTCCACGTAAATCCGCGACACGTGATGCGGCGTTATCGTCCGTGAAATATTACTCCGATATTTCCCGCAGACCTCCCGTATGATCCGTCGACGGGACTCCTGGACGTCAGACAGACGCCGTGAGCTCGATGAAGATGATGGTGAGTGTGAAGAGTTCGTGTGGGGTCGCCGCACAGGGCTGGTCTTTAAAAGTTTCCGGTGGCGTTTGGTGACCTGTTGAGAGCTCGGGTCGTGCTCCCGGGACCCCGGCGTGGCGGCTTGTCGTTTCCACTGGGAATCTGGCAGCTGCATCGGTGAGATGGGGTCGATGTCGCCCTCCTCGGACCGCTGGTTGACTCTGCCGAGTCGAGCCGAGACCTCACTGAACTGAGCGCACTGCTCCTTCAAACACACATACATAAGACAAACCGATGAAGCATACTGACATTATAACAGGAATATATTTATTGTTATATTTCACACCAAAAAAATATTTTTAAATATTTTTGAAATGATCATAATTTTAAATAAATGTATATTGACATTATAAGATGGAAATTTATTGAACTCTTATATTTCAGTCAAAAATATTTAACATTATTTTTTAAATTATCGTAATTTCAAATAAATATATATATATTGTCATTATAATAGAGGAATATATTTATTCGGTTATATTTCACTCTAAAAAATGTTTGTACATTAATTATCATAATTTTAAATCTTTAAAAATTTCTCACAAATTCTCAGTATTTTAAATGTAAAAAAAAAAAACAAATTTTAATTGGGAAGTATTAATACATCTTGGTGGTATTTACAGCACTGAATTCAATTAATTTAATTTTGATTTTAATTAAAACAAAATCATTGTGTTCAGATAGGATGATTTTAATCACTATTAACATAATGAGAACCTAAAAGTCCAAATTAAAAATGCATGCATAAAATGAATGAGAATTTGAAACAGGAAGGGGGCAAAAACCTTTTCACGGCACTGTATGTGTGTGTAATGTGTATACATACACATTATCAGCTGATTCCACTAATTTAAATGGCCAAATTATAGTTCTCTTGGTCTGGCTGAGCTTTCAGTCTATTCTGTAGCCATCAGATGGAGCCATTCACCCGTGTGTGATCTTCCTGTTCTCCGCCGAATGAATGTGTCTCATTACAGCTCATCTGTGCCCTGTGACTCACTCTGAATATCTCTAATCCGCTAATTGATGAGGATTTTTGCTTAATTCTCGACGTCATCTGATTTCCAAAAACATGTCGCCTGTGGCAAAAATAAATTTAGCTTCTCATTTGAATTCATTAAGGTGCAATAAAGTCAATGAATTGAATAATCATAAATCCAGTATTAACGAGGTGATTAGTTCGTTATGAAGTCAGGATTCATTTGATTAGTGACGCCAGGTTACAGCCCAGCAATCTGCCCCTTCCCTCGGGACAATATGAGGGCATGAGAGAAGAGACGACAGGAGAAGATGCGTTTCTGAATAACACCGCAGTAAAGAATACAAACAAAATAAGAACATCTGCATCTTCTCACCTGCCTGGACTGAGAGGTTCCTCTGAACTTCACACCTGAAAGACAGACAGACAGAGTGACAGACAGATTAGCTGTGCGTGCAAATGCAATAGCGTAAAAATATTTGATACTCATAATGGATTCTGCATATTAAAAATGACATGCATAATCTTTCAAAACAGTTCAACTTAAAAATGCATCTCAAGATCATTCAGAACAGAAAAAGATGTCTTATGTGAACGGCCCCTTAGTGTGTGTGTGGAACGTGTGTGTGTGTGGATCATGTGTGTGTGTGCGCACAACACCACACATACAGTAAAGGCCACATGCTGCGTCTTTCTCATTCCACAATCTCAAGCATTTCATAGCGCTTATTTTGTAATTACGGAGTGAATGAGAAACATTCACTAATTACAGCTTTCCATGCGTAACCATGTGACCTTGTTTCAAACATGTAATCGAGAAGCACTCGCTCACACACACACACACACACACACACACACACACACACACACGCAAATTATATGGCATACAATATACTGTGTAGAGACCTATTCCACATCTAAAAATTACAACCTGAAGAACACAAAAAGATTATTTTCACATCTTTAAACATTGTATTAATGTCCCCCATGGATCAAAAAATGGGAAATATTTTGCAGGTATTTTAACTTCATAATATCCTGCGCTATTTGAATGAGGAGAAACTGATGATTAAAAGAAACCCGTCCAGTGTTGTAGTGCTGAATTAAAGGAACAGTTCACCCCAAAATGAACATTTGCTGAAGATTTACTCATTTCCTGGTCATGACGTCACCCGCCCGTGACGTCCCGCTCAGCTATTGGACTGATTTCACATGTTATTCAGAGCGTGGTCACAGAAGGCGTTCCCCTAGCGTTTCCGACGCAGCTCGAGTTCCTGAAGAGGAACTGCACAGATCAAGCACCGTTTACAAGCCAAAACAGCTCTAAACGAATATGTGGCTGGATTTTGATGTGAGAGACAACAGGAGATGGACTTTTTCACTGGAGAAAGCGTTATTATGAATTATGGACTCATATTTGAGTTAAAAACGTCTTGATGGATTTGTTTCAGCTTCACTTTTGGATTATTGTGATGTTTTTATCAGCTGTTTGGACTCTCATTCTGACGGCACCCATTCACTGCAGAGCATCCATTGCTGAGCAAGTGATGCAATGCTACATTTCTCCAAACTGGTTCCGGTGAGGACATTTTTAGCAAATTTTCATTTTTGGGTGAACTATACCTTTAAGTGACATGCACGTTGTGAATTCATCAAGACTAGCACATGCAAAACCATGCAGTCTTCACATATTCAGATCTGACTGTAATGAAACATGAGATGTGCAAGAAACACATTATTTTTCAGACCTACATCATATGGATGTACATGCACACATACACCTTGATAACAAAACCACATGTTTGCATGGTCAGAAACTTCATATGACTTCTTGTTTACAGCTGAGAGACGTTGCTATGATCATCACTGTCACCCATCTTGCATCAGGGTTATGAATATTCATGATAAAAACGTTTGTTTACTTCTTCATTAGTCCAACTGTTAGCACGTATTTCAGAGGAGCATCACTTCAGCGTCTTGGTTCTCAAATGTTTTGACATCAGAAGTGAGAGGTGTGGAGCGGACAGAGAGCAGAGAGTTCTGGGATTTTGCCTGAAGCGTTGATGTTCTCTCTCGCTCCAAGATCGCTGTGATACTGCTTCATCACAAGCGTAAAACGCATGCAAACAGCTACACATGCTACAGCAAGAATTCAGATTATTAATATTATTAGCAGTCAGAATAAGGGAGATGAAATTTGAGGAATATTACAAGAAAGAAGACAATCAAAAATATGCTACCGGTCAAAAGTTGGGATTACGATTTTTTTTACGTTTTTGAAAGGAGCCTGAATTCTCACAAGGATGCATTTATTTGATCAAAAATACAGTAAAATTATGAAAAATTATTACAATTTTTCAGGATTCACAGATGAACAGAAAGTTCAAAAGAACAGCATCTATTTGAAATAAAAATCTTTTGTACCATTATAAATGTCTTTACTGTCACTTGTGATTAATTTAATGCGTCCTTTTTGAATAAAAGTATTAATTTCTTTCAAAAAGGACCCTACTGACCCCAAACTTTTGGATGGTAGTGTATCTCAGTTCCCACAAAAATATTGTGCAGCACAACTGTTTTCAACATTGATAATAATCAGAAATGTTTCTTGAGCAGCAGCATATTAGAATGATTTCTGAAGATCATGTGACACTGAAGACTGGAGTAATGATGCTGAAACATCTATTTGAAATAAAAATCTTTTGTACCATTATAAATGTCTTTACTGTCACTTGTGATTAATTTAATGCGTCCTTTTTGAATAAAAGTATTAATTTCTTTCAAAAAGGACCCTACTGACCCCAAACTTTTGGATGGTAGTGTATCTCAGTTCCCACAAAAATATTGTGCAGCACAACTGTTTTCAACATTGATAATAATCAGAAATGTTTCTTGAGCAGCAGCATATTAGAATGATTTCTGAAGATCATGTGACACTGAAGACTGGAGTAATGATGCTGAAAATTCAGCTTTGATCACAGGAATAAATTGCATTTTAAAATATATTAGAAATGTAAAATAGAAAACAGCTATTTTAACTTGTAATAATGTTTTTACTGTGTTTTTGATCAAATAAATGCACCCTTGGTGAGCAGAAGAGACTTCTTTTAAAAACATTTTTAAAAAAATCTGAATTATTTTAAACTTTTAACCAGTAGTGTGCAAATATTTAGTGAATACATGATGGGAGTTTGGAATGCAAAAACATGGATTTGGAATTTGTGTTCAAAACACAACAGCTTACAACTTACAAACCCAGAAGTTGTTTTCAGGTTTGAATGTTTGTGAACTGATCTCTAATACGGCACGATCGTACAGCAGAAGCGCAGGTTGTTTGCGAGCGAACGCTCCAGCTGTACATTGCGACTGGGTTCTGTAAGCAAATGTTCCTGTCAGAAGTGAGCCACGGGCTAAATAAATTACACCGCGCAGACAAACTTACACAGAGCTGTTAATTGGCAAGCAGTTGATTAAAATGCAAAAGAGCTCTTGACCTATCGCGACCCCCTCACACGCACACCGCAGCAGGAGATCTCCTCAAACGACTGTAGATGCACTGAAACAACAGAGAGAGCGGCTGCAGACACCTGACACGTGCTGCTCTTTAAAGACATCAGAGGGAGGGCTGAGAAACATCTTGTCATTCCACATGCACGCTGGGAAGGATGATGCACTTGATTTACACCCGAGATCTTCATATCTTCTGACTGAAGGGCAGAGATTTTAACCTGGTATCAGTAGATGCTCGCAGCTGACACACATTATGTTAAAGCAGTCAAATGTGATCTCTGCCTAATAACATCAAGTCATCCGCTACTAACAGTGATGCTTAGCTTAGCAAAGAGACAAAATGAATGAATGCATAAATTAATCAAATAAGCAAACTCTACACTTGATTTACACCCGAGATCTTCATATCTTCTGACTGAAGGGCAGAGATTTTAACCTGGTATCAGTAGATGCTCGCACATTATGTTAAAGCAGTCAAATGTGATCTCTGCCTAATGACATCAAGTCATCCGCTACTAACAGTGATGCTTAGCTTAGCAAAGAGACAAAATGAATGAATGCATAAATTAATCAAATAAGCAAACTCTACAATGCATACTATTTGATTATATTGTGTATATGCAAACTGTCTGAAATACCTAGATGACTTATGCATATGCCGAAATGTATGTATGCATGAGATACTGTATCCCACAATGCAGTGCACTCAAAATAACTGGATTTCAATCAATTTTTACACAAGCTTGATTTTAAAAAGCTTAATATGTATATGTATAGCCAAAATGAGAACTCTATTCAGAACATAATGAGACAATAATATATTGCCGTTTGAAATGTTTGCATAATTGTAATATTATTTATATACTATTATGGCATTTTTTCAGTGTAGTTTGAGTAATTTTTTGTTCTTTTGTCATTTTTGTTTGTTTTAAATATTTTTATTTAGCTTAAATTTATTTTTATTTTTAGTATTAATTTGAGTAATCCTAGTACTTCAACCTGCAGTGTTGTTTTAGTATTATTTATATACTAATATTGTATTTATTCAAAGCTTGAAACATCTTCTGTTAAAATTCAGTTTTAATTTAGATATAAATATGATAAATAAAATATAAATAATCTATATATATATATATATATATATATATATACATAGTGAAACTAATTAAGGTCCTGTTTCTTGTGCCCAATAAAATGCAGTACTGCTCATTTTGCAAAAATAAATGATTTTAATACTTATTTTAAGAAATGTTTTTTTCAAAGTGAGGTTTAGTAGAACTACTTTAAAAGATGTGTGCAACATCTTTTTGTTCAAATACTAATATGCAAATATACAAAGATATCTAGAAGTTCAGAGTCGAGCAGTGTTTGGTGCAGGACTGTCTGTGCTTAGTAAACCTGTCTGAGACGTTTCCCTGAAGCAGGTTGACACCCGTTGCCTAACAGGTCAGGATCAGACCGATTCCCTGTCAAAGGCAGATCAGCAAACCCGACTTAAACACAGCGAGCTGGCGACTGGAAGAGTGGAGCAGAATTCAGAGCTGCAGCTGCTCTCGGCTGTCAGGTCCAAGATCTCGGGGCAAAAACACCCAGAGCCTGCGTGATATTACAGCAGCGCTTCCCTCTCCAGCACCGCGGGCTCCTCCATTCATTCCATTCAGGCTGCTCACACACACACACACACACACACACACACACACACAAACAGTCTGAGTGTGCTGGAGGCTGTGTTTCCGGCAGAATTTCTAATCTTTTTGTGTGTTAGCTGTCCTCTGGTGATGCTGGGCTTCATGCCCGCGCTGTCAGTCTGTCTGTGTCTGTGTCTGTATGTGCTGCAGGCCTGTATCATTACCAGTGCCACTGAGAAAGCCTTTAAATTAAATTCCTGGATTAGCACTGAAATTGAACTGAGGAAACAAACAGGGCGCAGAACTAGAATTAAACTGAAGTATTATATATATTTACAAAATATTAAATATT